TTTACGCTCGGGTATCGCCAAGGTTTTTGGCAAAATTTGATGTAATATCGCTGCTCACGTTGTTCAGTCATTTTCCAGCTTAGTGGAATCCGACGAGAGCGCACTACATGACCTCACTCATAGAGCGATTGCCAACGACTGACGCTTCCTGCAGGCGGGAAAAAATTCACGGCTGTGCATGACTGTCCCCTCCACAACTCCACCGAAGGAGGCCTCTCGCACATCATTAGTTTACGCGGAAAAAAATAAGGTCCGATACTTTTTGAACAGACCTTGTATAATTTTATATTCATTCTGTAATAGTTAATGTTCTCTAATGATTTGGTCTATAGTTGCTAAAAGTCCAATTATCCCATATTTTTAAGTATAACACAACAATTAAGGTGCCATTTTCTTTTGATTTCCAAAACATATCTGAAGATTCAACTTTCATCTTCAGCAATCTCAAAAAAACATTTGAAATGAGCAACTAATTTTTGAACATTTTCAAACGTTTCGATAAACAACAAATTTTCAAACATTTAACAACCTGATAAATATTAAATTTGTAAAAATGTAAAATGTTTGGCTAAAAAAAAAAGTAGTTATAGAAATGATAAGTTCTGGTAAGTTCTTAGATTTAATAACTCAGTGCAGAATGGCCTTTGATTGAAAACAAATGGAGAAAGGACATAAGTTTAATGTTTGTTGGATTTTTTTAAATGTTCAAAAATCACTTGTTACATTAAATTTTGAATCTTCTCAAAAACATCTTGGAAATTAAAAGAAAATGGCTCCTTAATTTTGAGGTCCATTATGTTTTACTTAATAAAACATAGTTGTTCTTTCCTCGTGTTGAGGAGTTCATATTTTTCATTTTTGGCTAAATATAATTTCGAAATTTCACAAACAGTTACAAATTCAGTACTTCTCCAGAAATGACTAATATTTTTTGGCTATTTGAATATCTATCACAGTTGTAATCAGATTGAGCAATGTTTTCTAAACATATTTGTTAAAAACATTATTTAATAACAATTATAATGCATTAAAATTTAATCTACATACATAATTTAATAATTATATAATTATAGTAAAAGTAGAAACTGCTTTAATTAATAGAGTATAAAAAAAACAAAAAAATAATGAAAATTTTAAAATAATTTGAATGTTCTGAAGATGCAACTTAAAAACACAAACTTTGATTTATTATTATTATTATTTTATTTTGTACTCAAGTAAAGCAGTTTCTAAGTTATAAATGTTTTTGGAGTTTTTTTCTTTTATAATTACAATTATAAATTTCTTTATACATTCTTTATACATTAAGCATTTATTAATTATCATAAAATTTGCAAAAATAACTGTTAAAAATACAATAATATTATTAAATGTATTAATATAAAAGAGAGAATTATTTATTAACTTGATTAATGTCCATCTTTCATCTGAATCAGGAATTTACAGACTTTACTAAAGTTCAGCATTATTGCTATTGATGGAGATTGTTCTGTTCTATATGTTTAGAAATTTAACATACAGTAGAATCCCTCTAGTCCGTCACTCCGGTTAATCTGACCGTGGTCGGGTTCGAGAAACTTGTCCCGACTCGTCAGTGACTCACCGTCCGTAGCGTTCTTCTGTGTTCGTTACAGTATATGTTTTACATTGTGTGTACGTGTACAGTTTTATGTGTGTTTTCAACATGTCAGGAGTGAAACCTAAACACGTTACTCTTTCATTAAATGAAAAATTAGCAGTGCTACAAAGACCAGACAAAGGGAAGATTGTATATTTTACTTTTTTCTGATAATCCGACCTTTTTTGCGTTCCGACCATACCCCCAGTCCCAAAGGTGACGGATTAGAGGGGTTCTACTGTATTTAATATATTATTGTTTTTTATAGTTTGAATAAATAAAGTTTCCTATAAATTTATAATCAATTTTTCAATGATAATAAATAATGCTACAGTGGTTGCAGAGCTTTTGTTTATAATCTTTATTCTTATGAAGGTAGAGAGAAAGATCAATATTTTAGCCTAGTTGAACATCTTTAATAAAGTCATCAAGAGGGGAATTTGGGGATTCGTTCCCAGGCTCAGAAAAAACTTAGGGCCCATAAATAGTGGTTTCTACCTCTATAAATTAATGTTAATTTTATTAATAGAAAATAAAATCTTTAAGACTACTTTTTATTAATAAAGAAACATTCTACATATTTCATTTGTTGACAGAAAAAAATAGCAGAAAACCCTCTAATGGGCAAAAAAGATTCACTTTATCACAGTCCCTATAAAAGTGCTCAATGGTCCTGTCTTTAAGCCAGCATCATTGGGCTATAAAATATTCTGGATCATGGATTTATATGATCATAACTAAATTATTACATAGTAATTTTGATTTTATTTTTATTCATGTTTTAATAACAAATTTTATTAATTTATTGAGTTATTCTTTGTAAGTATAAGAAATACTTTAGTGTTAAATATTATATTAAAAATTTGAAAACAAAAATTTAACACAGGCATCACAAACTCTAACATGAACTGGATATGATGTAATAAATTTACAAAAATACATATAAATTTAACAAAGAGTACTACTGGTTAATTTCAGTTTGTTTTCTTTAACTATTTCAAAGTTATGTACATTTTTGGTACATAAAATTTTTGGTTTTTTTTTCTTTTTTACTTATTGGAAAACCTGACACTACCAAATGTGGTTTACCATGTTTTTCCTTAAAGGCTCTCATTTAATATTAAAACAG